GCAGTCACTTAAATATGAACCAGTAGTGTGATGCAGCTGCCAAAAAAAGCCAACACAGTCTTAGGCTGCATTAACAGAGGGATAGAATCAAAATCACGCAAAGTGTTAATACCATTTTATAATGCCTTGGTAAGACCACACTTGGAATATTGTATCCAGTTTTGGTCACTATGATATAAAAAAGTTGTTGAGCCTCTAGAAAGAGTGCAGAAAAGAGCAACAAAAATAATTAGTTGGACTGGAGGTTAAAACATATGAAGAACGGTTGCAAGAATTGGGACGTCTAGTTTAATGAAAAGAAGGACTAGGGGTGATATGATAGCAGTGTTCAAATATCTAATGGGGTCAGCCTATTTTCCAAAGCATATGAAGGTAGGAGAAGAAGCAATAGTTGGAAACTAATCAAGGAGAGAACTAACCTAGAACTAAGGAGAAGTTTCCTGACAGTTAGAACAATTACTCAGTGGAACAACTTTTCTCCAGAAGTTGTGAGTGCTGCAACACTGGAGGTTTTTAAGAAGAGATTGGGCAATCATTTGCCTGAAATGGTACAGGGTTTCCTGATTGAGCAGAGGGTTGGACTAGAAGCCTTCCAACTCTGTTATTCTGTTATATTCTAGAAATAAGAAATAAACAACTCTTATTTTTTATATAACTGGAAAATAATATGTTTGTGGACTTTAAAAAGATGAATATGGAAAAATATGTGTAGGACAATATATTTTTATGAAATGAAAGATTCAAGCATGTAATTTTTAGATTTTATTTTTTTAAAAAAATCTGTTTTTGTAATAGGTCCAAATCTGTACTCATGAAATAGAATCCTTAGATATTTTTAATTGTAAATGGTTTAGTCGGGAGGTTTTAAATTTTGGGCCAAAATTTGTTTAATTCTTTTAAACAAATTCTTTAATTCTTGTTTAATTCTTTTAAAAATTTTAAATTTTGTATTGGGATGTTTTTTATTCTAGGCTGTGCACCGCCCTGAGTCCAGCAGGAGAAGGGCGATATAAAAATTTAATAAAAATAAAAATAAAATAAGAATTAATAGCATTAATGAATGGCACCCACCAATTTCTGTGTCCATATATTTCTCAACATAAATCTGATTTAAAACAATAATAATTATAATATGTATTCTATACACATTTATTAATTCTATACACATTTATTGACAGAGAAATTCTATCTGTCCTCTGGGATTGTCTCCTAAGTAAATATTCACAAGGTGTTCTGTTGCAGTCCTTAAAACACACAACCTAATAATATTGAATATTATCAAATAGAATTTAGAGATTCCAGTTTTCAAAGAGATGGTTGGTACAAAATTTAATAAATAAATAGGTGACTGCAGGATCTACAGTCCCTGGTCTCACTGATTTTTGGAGATTATTTCTGAATTTTGGACTGCTTTATAACCTTTTTCATAATTGGACAACTTTATTTCTTCTTTTTAAGTGACATGTGAACACTTTTTAAGTGTTTGTGAATCAATCATGGGGCCCAAAGCAAAATGCCAGAGAAAGCAATCATCTCGACATTCCAATCATCATTTTTAAGAAAGAAGAAAATCTGTAATTAAAAATTCTTCCTATCTCAGAGGAATTGCAAGGAGTGATTTTAACTCCTGACCTGTCAGATATTCCAGACATTGGGAAAGTGTCTAATTTTGAATTGCTTCTAATTTTCTGCCTCATTATTTAAAGGGCTATAAAACTAAGAGTTTCAGTAATTAAAAACTATATAGAAGCTTTAAAATATCCACTATAGCTTGATTCTCTTAATAAGATATGGCAGACTTGAAAATGATTGTTGCTGTCTCCCAAGAGAAAATGCATGAGTTTCATAATGAAATCACCTATATTCAAGACTGTTACTGTATGTAGAAATAACCTATGATTTCTGAGTATTCCCAATAATGAATGAAGGCAAATATACGTTGCATGATCCAATCTGGGTTGGTCACCAGGACAAGAGGTTTAGTCTTCCAATGCTGGAGTCCATCCTCAGGGAACGCCTTCCCTCTACCGGAATTTCCGATGGCCCTGAGCAAGATCACTCCTTGGTATTGTTTATGGAAAAATTCCTAAATGAGCATTGTGGGTACAGAGTCAATGAATTAGAAATTAAAACTGCATATTGTTCAGATTTCTTCTTTCACTAAATTAATATTTTTAGTTAAACTTCTTAGATCTATGATTACCGCATAATAATATTTACAATCCAAAGTAAAAGGCAAGCTGGATTTTTAGAAAAGAAAGCTAAGAGCTTTCTTTATAAAGGCTTTTGTCCAGCGGCAAAGCAAATCAGAAGGTTTTTTTTATCTGTTTTTGTTTATGTTGTTTATCCGTGAATTCTGAGATAAACACATTATCAGGCCTCAAAGCTGTTGACAATTGTATTCAGTTGGGATCACAAGTAGAAAGATTGTAGCACTTTGTATTTACTACTGTATATTTACAACTTTTCAATTGAAGGTGAATTTCATAACTGATGTTGGGGGAGGAATCTTTGTACTGTTATAGTATTTGGGGAATGTCTCTTCTAGACTCCACATAGCTTTTCCTATTATCTTATATTTTTTAAGGAAAAATTCTTTATTTTTGCTTTTTTAAACTGTTTTGGATACTCTATCAATTTATAGTTTATAAAACTATAGCTTTATGGTTTTAAAGTTACTGTTTTGTTCAAATGAATTTCAGAGGTTTCCAAAGCTATATTTAACTTCTATATTCTGCTGAAGATAGATTTGAAAAACCTGCAAGGTACCTGGGAAAAAATGAACATGTTTTGTTTTAACAAATCAGAAACATAGTGTTTTAAAGAATGTTAAATTTGTATCCTGCAATCTTTCACAAAATATTCTTTTTTATGTTTATTGGCCAATTCAGAAGAAGTTTAGCAAGTTTTGGTATTTAGAAGTGAAAGAATTGTGACTTATAAAGCTTTAGATTTGTTCAACAACTTCACTATCTTCGTTAAATCTATGGAATATGAAATAAGATTTTAAAAGGTGGACGTCTTGATGAATAATGTACCAAAAAGGTGGACTTTCTCAACTTTGGAATTGTGGAATTACTTAAACTAAGTTTTAGTTTAGATATTAATGAATAAAGTATAGGAAACATTGTAGAAACAGTCACATATTATATTGTTAAATTTTGTTTATTGTTACCTCAAGAGACAACCTAATAAAAATGGATAATTTGTTACTGGAACCAGAATGCAAAAATTTATAGCATGTTCATACCCATTGTTATTGGGATCACAAATATTATGTGATCCACAAATATTAATAGAAATATAATAAAAGTCCAGGAATGTAAAAAGATTGATGCAAATAAAGAATAATGCTGATTATCCATACAAAGCAAAGTATTAATTCTGTTATGACGTATTTCTTGTGATTGGGGAAAGGAAAGAAATTTGAGGAACAGTATTGTAACCTTTGACTGCATAGCATATTTTCAATGCTATCATGATTTATTTTGTTATTTTTTCATATCTCAAAACCCAATATAGTAATTTATTGTAATTTCCTTTTTTGTAATGTACATATAAAATGTATGCTATATTTATATACACACACACGTGTGTGTGTGTGTGCGCGCGTGTGTATATATAAAATTTATATAAAATGGTTTGTCGTGAATGTGACTGCTTGAGGGCTCCTGGATTGGACCTGAAAGGTGAAAGGGAAGCAGTATGCTCCCTCCCATATTGGGATAGACCAGGTGCTTCGATAGAAAAACTAGATAGATAGATAGATAGATAGATAGATAGATAGATAGATAGATAGATAGATAGATAGATAGTGGTTCAGTGGCTAAGACGCTGAGCTTGTTGATCAGAAAGGTCGGCAGTTTGGCAGTTCGAATCCCTAGCGCCATGTAATGGAGTGAACTTACATTACTTGCCCTAGCTTCTGCCAACCTAGCAGTTCAAAGGTATGTAAAAAAGTAGAAAAATAGGGACCACCTTTGGTGGGAAGGTAACAGCATTCTGTGCACCTTCGGCATTTAGTCATGCTGGCCACATGACCACAGAATTGTCATCAGACAGCGCTGGCTCTTCGGCTTAGAAATGGAGATGAGCACCGTCCCCTAGAGTCAGGAACGACTGGCACATATGTGCAAGGGAAACCTTTACATTTATACACACACACACACAATGTTTCCTAGAGGAGTCTGGTTTAGTCAAAATCATTTTCTGGTGCTTTCCTCAAAAATTATAGTAAAATGTGGCAGTCACAGAATGAATACCATCTTCACAGCACCAGAAATATTTTTGAAAGATCTCACTTCTGGTGCTGTGAGGATGGTATTCATTCTGTGACTGCCACATTTTACTATAATTTGGAGGGAAGCACCAGAAAATGTTTTTGATTAAACCAGACTCCTAGAAACATTGTTTTCTAGATCAGTATCAGTCAGCATATGTCTTGTGTTGGAGATGATGGGAGCCAGAGGTGGGTTTCAGCAGGTTCTGACCAGTTCTAGACAACCAGTAGCAGAAATTTTGAGTAGTTCGGAAAACTGGTAAATACACCTCTGACTGGCCCTGCCCCATCTATTCTCTGCCTCCTGAGTCCCAGCTGATCGGGAGGAAATGGGAATTTTGCAGTAACCTTCCCCTGGATTGGGGAGGAAATGGAGATTTTACAATATCCTTCCCCTGCCACGCCCACCAAGCCACAGCCACAGCCACCAAGCCATGCCACGCCCACCAAGCCACGCCCACAGAACCGGTAGCAAATATTTTTGAAACCCACCACTGATGGGACCTATTATACATGATTCCTCTAAGGCATTGTTTCTCAATGGACTTCAACTCCTAAAATTCACTAGCCAACCATGTCTAGCTGGAGAATTCTGGGAATTGAAGTCCAAGCATCTTAGTCCAAGTTGCTGAGATAGAGAAGTACTACTATAAGGCAACAGGTTGCAAAATGTTGGCATAAATTATCATGTGGGCTTTAACCAATTTCTTTTTTTTTCCAGGCAAATATATTACATTTATATTAAACCCCCTCCAATATCCTGTTGTGACCAAGAACAGCAAGTATCTGGAATTTGAAGAATTTGCAGATCAATTATCAAGCCAAGCATTTGACCATCCGCCGGTTATAAATGGGAAATGCCCTGACCTAAATGAACGTGTACACAGGAATTATCAACATCTTCTTGGCAAATCATTGGACACACTCTCTGATAATGTGATGAGGAACCTCCAAATTATATTTAAAAGAAAGTTTTCACAAATGGTAGATTGGGAGATGGGAAAAATGCACAAGTTCTGCTTCTCTATAATATTTGAAGCCAGTTTTAAAACATTGTTTGGAAGGGATCCTCATAATGATGGCTATAATGTTACTGATGAAATTGGAGAAAAATTTCTCAAGTTTGATGCCAATTTTTCCTATTTGGCTCTAAACATACCAATCGTATTGCTGGGAGCAACCAAGAAGATCCGGAGAGAACTCCTAAACTTTTTAAACCCCAAAAAGATGGAGAAATGGTTAGATGTTTCTGAAGTGGTCCAAGACAGAAAAGATATATTCGAAAACTATACGGTGCTTAGCGATTATGACAAAGCAGGTAGCAAACTTTTGAATGATTGCTTGGGTCGGAATCAGATAATTTACTAGAGTCCTTTGAAATAAAATGGCAAAATTGCGACCTTGAAATTTTTATGTTTTTTCTCTAATTGGGTAATGATAAAATGTTTTACTCTGAAACAATCCTGTCTGATAATTGATTCTTTCTTTCTCTCTCTTTTTTTGGCTGAGGTGGTAAAACAAGATACTTAATGGTGATAATGAGAGAGATTATAACTGAGCTGCATTTCCTCCCTTTATTTCACCCCCACCCCCACCCTGAAATTACATTTCAAACTATTCTCATTAAGCAGAAAATTAGACTTTCAGAAGCCTATTGGTCCTCATTAGCATTCACTGATCCTTGGCTGGGTCTGTGTCCTAACATCTTTTAATTAGCACACTGCAAATCTAATCAGTGTAATAAACGCTATTAATCTTCCTTTTCACTTATTTTCTCCCAGCACATCATTTCACCTTTCTGTGGGCCTCGGTGGCAAACACAATTCCTGGTGTATTCTGGGCGATATATTATCTGTTGAGGCACCCAGAAGCTTTTGCAGTGGTGCGTGACGAAATTGACCATTTGCTGCAGTCAACAGGTCAAGAGAAGAGGCCAGGAGACAGCATCTACCTCAGCAGAGAACAATTGGACAACCTGGTCTACCTAGGTAATTTATTTTATCCTTTCTGAAGAAAAGTAGGCATCTCCATGTAAAACTCTGTTTATCACTCATTTTGTTTAGTGGGAAGGTGGAGAACCCAGCTGCTTAATTGACATAATAACAATCATTTACATCAATTATAAATTATGTACTTTATAGCTAGAGATACACTAACTGCATGTAAACATAAAAGCCCAGATAATTAACTAAGCAAAGTATGGAAAAGGTTGAATCAAAGCTTTGCAGTTATTTACACAACGTGTACACATATTAAGTTTGAGTCTAAACATCTGCTGAAGTGGAGAATACATTTCAGAGGCATTGCTTACAAGATGGGAGAGCAGGGCCTTCTCCTGAATGGAAAGGAAAAATTTGGAACAATCGACTTCTCCTCTAAATATCATTAGCCTCCACAGCATCCTTTTAAAACATAAAACAGGATACATTCTCATTTTTCTACACATTGGCAGATTGTTAGCTTTGCAGTAAAAGATATAAATATTTTAAAATAAAAAAAAATTATTTTCAAAGAAGAGGAGATATATGTAGAATGTTGTGTAATTGGCAAACTTCCCACTTTTTAAGCAATTTTCAAGGAAAAATAGTTTGGTGGAATTTATGTGCAGTTTATTGATAGTAGAAACATAGCTTTTCATAATAGGGGTGAACACTTGGTTTAGAAATGATAATCAATTGTCATATCCACACGATCTATCCTATATATCTTGCTTGAATTTGTACTACCTTAAAATCCATGTGCAAAATTGCTCTTTTGAAAAAGTTTATTTCTTTACCTTATTGCTTTTTAAAAAAAAAAAGTGTGTGTTTTTTTTTAAAAGCATTTTATGAATTGTGAAAAAAGCTAAGCTGAGAGAACTATGCTGGAGAAAATCTATCTTTGTGGTTGCTAAGAGTCAACACCAACATGATGGTACTAGGTATCAATCAAGATATCTAAGGATTCACAGATAGAGAAATTAACTTCAGTTTCAACAGTGCTTGAAAGTTTGTGAACCCATATTTCTGTATAAACATGACTTAAAATAATACTTGTTTTCCTTATGTAGTTTTGGATAATTTTCTTCAGTAAATAAATGAACAGGCATATTGTTTTTTAATCATTTGATTGAGGTTTAGATGTACTTATACAGAAATATTGAAAAGTTGAGACTTCGCAAACTTTTAAACAGCATTATAAATATACTTGATCTAAGCCTCATCATATTATACATAGTCAGATATTCTAATTACATGAAAAAGACACTCTTTATTACTTTATATATTACTTATATACTTTATATATTACTTATATTATAACAACAACAATTTATTATTACAGTCTTAGACCAGAGACCAGAACAAATAAAAGCACTCAGTATATATACACTTAAAAATTCTAGTATAAAATAATAAATAACAACTAAAATCTATAATAAAATCCAGTGTCAATTATACATGGTCTGACTATTTGATAGTTGCAATCCCTAAACTGAGTGGCATGTTGTAGATTCAACACTAAAAGAGAAATGACTAAGCAGTGCAAAAGGTTTGCTACAATAATTATATAACATCGCTATGGTGGAGTAGACACATGTTTGTGACGAATCCCCAGTGCTGCTGCGCAGAATCTAGCCACCTGAGATGTAGTTATGGACTGTTCATCCTTAAGCATCCACTGAAGATAGGTAGTATTGGAACAGCCAGGATACCTAGCAGTTATTGGCAGAATATATTTTTCCTAATCTCTATATAAAAGGAACATCTAAGGAGCATGTGATCTCTACTTCTCCTGAGCCGCAGGGAGAGATTCTTTCAGTGAATGGTATCCTTTTATACTTGCCGTACAAGACTGCCAATGGAAGCATGGCACCGTGCAAGTACAAATGCTTTCCGGTGGTTTGTTGACTTCAACTGACTAAGATAGCTGGCATGAGCAACAACACATCTAACGGCATCTGGAGCCAGAAACAGCGGTGCTTTCCCTAAGTCTGCCTGCCTCTCAATGTCCTCCGCCCTTTGTCACAAGTTTTGTCTTGCTAGATCATAGTCCATCTTGAGTGTTAAAGCTGGGGGAAAGCCTAGTTTGGCAAGGTTGGACTCAACAGCCTTGATCCATGATGAAGAGAATTTGTCTTGGAGGATTAATGGAGCAAGACCTTGCGGAAAGAAGTTAAGCTTTAGCCAGAGATTTAAGGACGCTATACAGATTCTTGTTTCAACTTTTGTCAATCCTGTCTGCAGTGCATTTGAGACACAATGCAGCATCTGGAGAATTGATTTAATGAATTTGGATTTAACTATTTCTAATGATGTAAAACATGAAGCTGACTATCCGAGCAAGGTCCCATAAAGAAGCTGTGCTAGCGACTTGGCCAGAAAAAGCTTAAATGCAGCAAGGACATAATATCCTCCCTTTGTGTGGAAAAATTTAAGAATGGTGCTCGTTGATCGAAGCAGCTGCATATTCTCCATGTGCTTTTCTTGAACCATTGGCATGAATGACCAATGAAGGTGGTTACCTGCTCTATTTTAGATGTATTTATACAGAAATATTAAAAAGTTAAGACTTCACAAACTTTTAAACACCATTATAAATATACTTGGTTTAAGCCTCATCATATTATACATAGTCAGATATTCTAATTACATGAAAAAGACACTCTTTACTGTTACTTATATTATGTTACACATACCAACTTTATCATGAAAGATGCATTTAAAATCTTTTCTATATAAAGAAAAACTTGGGAAGTTGGGAGGGGGGCTAGCTAGAACATATAGCATAATGGTATATCAGAAATGTTATGCTATTCCATGCAATTTTAATAGCGTCATCATTAATTGAGATTTATTTATGTAGCAAAATTTGTGACCTGCCTTAATAGTTAAGTCAGGCTAAAGGCACAATAAAATAGGACAACTTTCATTTCCTTATTCTTAACTTGTTATTTATAGTTCTAAAAGGATGTCATCGAATAGTAATTTTTAGTGTGACAGAAGAAGAAAGTTCTTGGAAAATAATTTCAATACAATATAATATAATTTTTTGTCATGTACTCATCTGTTGATTTCCCTTGATTCCAATCATTTTTGGAATCTGTCCACCAATGTGGCATTCAAAGACTATTCAAAATACAATATAAACATTCTTTTTGACCTAACAAGATAACAAATGCAGGGCAAGCAACTTGATTTCATGAATATCACATGTGTGTGAACATCTCCTAATGTATATTGTATGTGGAATGGATGGATGGATGAAGTTTAGAGAGATGGACAGCTAGACATCCAATCACCAGAATTTGGGGGCCCACATAGACTAATAAGTATGGAAAGCAACAGAGCCTAGCACTTGCTTTGGTGAAATACCACTACTATCTGCTAGGGAAGTGAAGCAAAAGGAAATGTCTGTTGGAAATGATTTGATGTTAATGGAAAGTAACCAAACAGGATGGAATATGAAGAGGGGCAAGCTATGGTTGGACTGAATAAAGAGAACAAAGGTGAGATTAAGGAGGCATTAGAATGAAAAAAAAATGAGGAAAAAACCCTTTACACAGAGATATTTTGGTGTGAAAGAAAAGAATAAAAGGAATTCAGGGTGATTTGGAAAGATATGGTGATTGTATATCTTACATCCTGGGGATATAATATGATAGTCAAAGACTAGATTCAGGCTATTTTGGTCTTGTTTGTAGTTTTGGGAGAAAAGTTACTTTTATTTCTATTACATCAGTTTGCCTTTTTGTGTTTTGCTGGGCAATGGTGGCCAACTTTATAATTTCTACAAGAAGGGTAAAGACACGCCTAATATGATTTATAGCATAGTCCACAGAAGAAATTAATATTTGCTTTAGAAAAGATGGACAATGCTTTCCTGGCAGATAATATTATTCAATGTGATTTACCAACAGCAGAAATCATTATATGTAAACTCAAACCACACAAAAAATGCATAGCTAAGGAATCCTCAGTAAGAAGTGAATCTAAGTTACAATGGGGATTGGGATTCTTTAGGTTTCTAAATATTACTATACTACAAGTGATAGGTCAGTATACTGGTAGACACTAGTCAGATTTGGACTTCCAATATTATTGATGATTGTCAATCCCTTTCCTCCTTTTCCTTGTTCCCAATCAGATATTTTTCTCTGCCATCTTTGTTTCCTTGTTTTATGTTTCTTCTGTTGTTTCGTGTTTTTAAATGTTTTTAACAACTTATAAACTTCCTGGAGTCACTGGGAGTTGTATGGCAAATCAATTTAATGAATTATTATTAGATGTTCACTACGGTATGAAATCACAGCTGCCAGTTCTTTAGCTAGTAGTGGCCTTCCTATGCCTCAAATTCCTCTCAAATATTTAGGATGTTGTAATGTAGAGGCATAGTACATGACAGACCCAGGCAGTGAGGCCTTTTTTTAATTGACAGATGAAAATGTTGTCACTGTGCAGATTTTCTGAGTGCGGTCCATGATTTCTTGGTATGGCACCCAATGTGCCGATAAGCACTGGGACCACCGTTTATGGCTGATTTATGCCATAACCTTTTTGTTTGAATTTTCAGATCTTGTTACTTTGTGATCTTTTGCCATTCTTTCCCTTCTGTTTTGCTATCCCCTGGTAATGCAACATCTATTATTCATGCTTTCTTCCTTTCAACTACAATTATATCTGGGTTGTTATGTGCCAAGACTTTATCAATTTGTATTTGGGAATCCCAAAATATTCTAACCTGCTCATTTTCAACTACTTTTTCAACTCTTCTGTTTCAAGGACTGAAATTGAAACCTTCTGTATACAAAACACTTTCCACTTCCCTGATGCTTCTAGCTTTAAATAAATTATTGTATCATTAGAGATCTCACATGGTGAAAGAAGAACCTCAGTTGAGAGATGTGAAAGTATTTTCACTTTTGTAAGGATTTATGTCAATAATCTTAGACAATACATTTTGTTCTAAATTAATTAACATATTTTAAAGATTACCAGGCATGCAGCAAAGG